TATATATATATATATATATATATATATATATATTATTTTATTTTATTCTTTTTTTTTATTTTATAATCTTGTTGGTTGCCATTAATCGTGATTATTTATCATTATAGTGGAAACATAAAAGTGGCCACTGTTATTTAGTTAATGAGACTTTTTGGGGTTGACTTTGATTTTAAATTTGTTTTTAAAATTTTCTTCTTTTCTTTTCAATTATTTTATTATTATTTTTTTCTCAAGTGGGAAAACGTTAGAGAATTTTATTGGCTAAAATATTAGATTTATTAAAATGTCGATCGAATGAAATCATAATATATATTTTGGATTATTCATTGTATGATTATGGATATTCACTATTATATTTTTTACTTATATTTATTAAAATGTTATTATATTGAATAAATAGGTTATTTTGTGACTTTTTTTTGAAAAATGTTACTAAAGTAACATTTCTTATTTCAATATTATTCTTTTTAATTGTTTGCAAAATCAAAGACTTGTATCGAATAAAAAAATGTCACATAAGTTATTTTGCAACATTTTTTTGAAAAATGTTACTATAGATAAGTAACATTTTTTTATCTCCATATTATTCTTTCTAATTATTTTTAAAATCAAAGTCTCATATCAAATAAAAAAAATCATATAAAGGGAATATTTCCATCATTTCTAATTATTTCTCATAACTGAAGTCCCATATCGAGTAAATGAATAACCTATAAAAAATATATATAATCATATAGTTATACTTAAAATAAATAAACTTTGATATTTGATATATAATTAGTGATGACTAATTAAAAACATTTTCAACCTTCTCTTAAAGAACTTGTAGAAGTTTAGCAGACATAAAATATAATACTTGATAGCAACACTTATATTAAAACTAATTAGTATTTTATAAAGTTAACAAAAATTTAACAACATTATTAAAATGTTACAAAAATATTACTTTGATAACATTTGAAAAATGTTGTTTAATTGTGTAAAAATGTTATTAAAAGTCTTTAGTAACATAAACTGTATACATCATTTAATAATATGTAACAAAAATAAATTAGTAATATTCTTACACAATTAGATAATATTTTTTTAAATATTACATAAAAAAATTGTGTTATAATGATTATTGATTCATTATTAAAACATTGGTTGAATGACATCAAGATGTATTTTTTTTTATAAAAAAAAAACTTCATTGTATGCTTCATGAGTATATCTTGTGACATTGTATTTAAAATTTTAGACTAAAACTGAATAATTCTTAACACATCTCTTCATAAAAGAATATGATCGTTGAATATACATTAATTACTTGTCGCCTTCTCGGCCAAAAACTTACTTATATGATAAATCATTACTTCTAACCCATTATCAAAGTTTAATTTTCTTTCCTCATAAAAAATTTTAATCTTAAATTATGTTTTTCATGGAGTTTAACATTGATCGAACTATCCTATGAATCAATTGTCATAAAAAAAAATACTCCAATGCATTAATGAAGTCAAAGACAATGAGTTGAAGGGATAAGTACGTTAGATTTTTGCCTATTTTTGATAAGTACTAATTCATGGAACTAGGATACATGCATTTTGATGGATTAAGATAGATAATTATTACAAGACAGTTACTGGTTATATTAAAAGATGACTACTTGGAAGTGTTTGTGTCTGTAACAAACACCCCGCATAATATGGTTTCACACTGGAATTTTCACGCCTTTCTCCTCCTCTTCGGCACCTTCTATTCCTTCATGGATAACTAGCACTGGGTACACCTCACAGTTTCCCAACGGGTTCACTACAACAACGTTTTTCATTGTCTCTAATGCATGCTCTTCCTTTATAACAACTGTCCCATTGTTACTACCTCTGTTCCTGTAAATGCCATACAGCAGCATCTGAAGTAGTCCCAGAGTGAAACCCAGCACATTTGGGATCTGCTCATATATAAGACCCAAACAAGAAACAATGAAAAACCCATCAATGTTATTGCTTTTATGTAGCATAAATAAACTTTTATAAGAAAAATAAAATAAATTTATGCATAAGTTAATTTTTAGAATATGTTTCATATATAATTTTTTTACAAATTTATTTTATTTTTTACTTGCATAAACTAGTTTTAATTTATAAAAAAATTATTTATTTATTTTTCAGAAGTATTTTTTTTTTGAAAAAACAGACTCGATATTAATTTGTATATCACTATTGTATGTGTGTTTACTTACAGCAATGCATATGTCCTTAAGAAAGAGACCATAGAAAAACCATGTTATGGCACTCAGGGTGAGGAAAAGTGACAAGTAAAAGGGCATAAACTCCACATTCTTGGTTCGAATAACCTGTGCCTGCATTGATGAAGAGTGTGGGAGTAAGACGTGGGAGTGCAAAATACACTAAAAATATAATTAGAATATATTTTGACTCACCAGAATGCTTAGAGGGGCTGCAAAAACACCAACTGAAATAGTTACACAAATCCATCCCACGACTTGGATGCGGAGGGAACCATGCATAGAAAAGTAAGTGACAATGAAAATCAACGCGGAAGATCCCACGTTCATCACCATAAACAGTTTAACAGTTAAATTCTGCAATTAAAGATCAGCAATGATAATCAGTGTTAGTGAATTTGTAACAAATTAGTGGCATCCTTCTTTTATCGCATGGTTTCAATAATACACTCTCTCTAATACAGTGTACAGTGTTAGGAGAAATATGTTAAAAATATGTCACCCTGGCATCATTGGTGGCATAGATTGTGAACATGATTATGTAAACAATCTCAATGGCACATCCCAATGAGTTAATGGTAAGGAGGAGTGTAGTTTCGGATGGCTTGAGTGAGGCATAGTATAGCCAAAGCATGGAACTGAATAGTGCCACCAGGTAAGGCAGTGACTGAAAAGCTTCAGTGGATTTCTTTTTGTAAATTCGATAAAATGTTGGCCTACAAATTAAGAAAAGAAAACCATAATTTGTAATTACAATATAATAATTAAAACTGCTTGTCACAAGAAAAATGCATCCTAATTAATTAGGAGAACTTATTAAGTGGAAGTTACGCTGAATTCATATACTTACACGGGTGCCAAGAACACCATGAAGGAGACCACGTTACCTAGACAATAAAAGGAGAATATGTTAAGTTCTTGGATTTTGCAAAATAAAGAGATTAATTAATTAAAATAGTTAATGGAGAAAATGATTAGTCAGTTACTCTTAGAGGGACATTGCTATTAGATAAGTTTATTATAACTCTACTATAATTAAGTTGAAAAAAAAGGCTAGGAATTAATTGGATTTGGAGGTAATGAACAAGTTGTTCATGAATTATAGGGATGGAGTTAAGAGAAAAAGAAATTCACAAGGAGAGGAATAAAGATCATGAAGCAGTAATATTTTCTTGAACAACTGTTGTGTAAATTGAGACTCGAATACTAGATGGAACTAGTTAGAAATAATGGGAAGAGATAAAATAAAAATAAAAATGATTGTGACACTTATGTGATTACCTAGTAAGCCAAAAACTAAAGCCAAATGATTGGGACTGTCCATAATAGCCATGCCTTCTTTGCCTTCTTTAAATTTTTGAGGAAAATTTGACTACCGAGGTTTAGGAGTTGCTAGGTTAAGAAACCTTTAGTTGGGTCTAAGGTTTCTTTCTACTAACCCCTAAATCTGACACAGGCACTGAAGCTGGTGAAGGGTTTGCAACCCATGCAAGCTCTATATATACACAAACGGTACGAAAAAAGGGGCAAGAAAATGATGAAAAAATTATTTAAAAAAAGAACAAAACTTAAAGTATTCTTATTGTAACAGATGAAATGGAGTGAGCATGTACTACGCATGCATGTTTCATGGGGATATGATTGATCTTTTTAGAAGGTAGTAGCACAAAACATACTTACCTTGCTAAAGATAGGGATATTCACATGCAAGTTGATACATGATTTTTGGATCCTAAGATACAAAAATGTTACAACAAGTTGTTAATGAACACGGCACGAAAACTATATTTGTATATATAATGTGTATATCACATTACTTTTTACTTGTTTCGTTAACAAGAAGTTATTAGATAGTCATGATCCATCACATATTAATCGATTGGATCAATTTCTACATAACACGTAATCGGTATCCTTCATTTTGCAACAAGAGATGGAAAAAACACGTGAGGGGATGTAACCTTTGCAGTCATTATCATTAATTGTTCTTCGATTCATTCCTTGTAGAAGTTTGTGAAGAGTTTTCCGGAAAAAGCCATGTAACCGGTTTCTACCGCATAGGCTCTTGCCATTTGCAGGCCTTTGTCTTGGTTGTGTGTGGCACACTGCTCTGCAATTCCGCTGTGTCTGAGGTACCTGTTTTTGGTGCAAATGAGAGTTAGTTTTCCGCGTGACACAAACATCTTCATCTATTTCTCGCAAATGCTTTACAAGACTTCGTCACACATCATTATATTATTTTGGTTTAATTAACTATCTACTCACCACACCATGTTTACCTTTGCGTGTTAGTCATTGAATACTATAGATTACTTTAATTTTTAGTTCCAACACCATTTTTTAATTAGAGAAAAAAAATTATACACCAACTGTGTAAAATAGTTTATACAATTATTTAATCACACATTATCATTTATATCAAATTTATTGACTTTTATAAATGTATATTAACTTAAAAAATTTATAGTAGTTTTTCATTGGTTGACAATGTAAATTAAAAAATTTATATTAACAATGCATGATCATAAGTATTTCTTTTTGTTATAGTCTTCCTCCGTTGTTACAGAATAAAGGTATAAAAATTAAACATTATAAAAAAATTGACATGTAGAAATAGAAAAAAATTGTCACTAAAGTTAAAAATTTATAGATGATTGTCTATTGTATATTAACCCATAGATGATTTATTTGTCTATTATGTAAATTATATAATAATAATTTTTAAATTTTTATTTATGTTATTTCCTTTAACAAGTGTACCAAATCGTATAAGTAGTTTAATGAAAATATGCGTATCGTTTTTCAACGGACTTATGCAACATTTTACAAAATCACTCGTTATACTAACTAAGCTAGCTACCAAAAAGTAATAAGAATTTGATTTGTTGCAGTAAACAATGTAAGCAAATAATGTGAATGTTATAAGAATTATTTTAGGGTATTTTTGTAAACACTTGGTGCAAAACTTGATTCTAAAACAATATTAATAAATATTGGGATTTAACTTCACTAAATCTTCCTCTTATGTTTACCAATGAGCTCACAATAGTCATTAGAAATTATCAATCACTCTAAAATACTAATTCCTTACAAGTTGGCCTCTAAGTTGCTAGATTAACCTATCAACTCCTTACATAGTTTAACTAAGAAACCAGCTTTCAAAACCAGAGCTTAAGAAAGACTAATGATATTTACTGTATTCCTATATATAAGCACCATTAGTTGCTTTATTTCCATTTAAAGGTTTAAAAGTATTTTCCAATCTCTTAAAAACCTCAAGTTCAAGTTAAGGGAGATCAAGGCATAACAAGCATTATGCATAGGAAACAGAGCAATAAAACTGAATAATTGACATTGATCACTTAAAGTTTATACATGAGAATGAGTTTAGTTACATCAAACCCCAACAAGGGTGAGATTAGCTACACATAGACATGTAGAACTCTACAAAATAATGAAGAAAGGAAGAATCTTGATCTTGAAGGTTCTAGAGCTCTCCAGCCGCCACACAGACTCCAAGAAAGGTTCTCCTCCTCTATCCTCGAAATTCCCCCTTTTAGGTTATAAGAGTTTTTGTCTTATCTGAGTAATGATATGTTAGCACAATTCACGCTAAATGTAAGGGATTGGTCTAGAAGGGAGTAACTTTCTGGAACACTGATGTTCAATGCTAATTTCCACACTCAGCTTGAAGATTGAAGTTTTTTCCTTGACTTTCTGCCAAGTTGAGGCTAAGTGTGGATCTAAGGCTTAGCGTGAAGACTTAACCAAAAATTCTTTCTGCTTTGAACTCACCGCTTTGTCCTTTGCTTCCTTCCTTCTTTCCTAACTTTCTCCTAAACTACAAAATAGAAACCAAATTCTTGTAAGTCACCTAAACAAGATTCAAAGACAAGATGTGACCACCTACCAATGTAGATATGTTTTGAGTTCAAAACAAGATCTCAAATTATTGGAAATTGATATAAGTGCTCCATAAACTTAATGAAATCATAGCACTTATCAATTTATAATAAATAATTATAAGTATAAGTATTTGAATTTTACCTACATTAAATATTCAAGTAGAAAAGTAATTTTTTATTTTAACTACAATCATCATATTTTCCTTGTAGTGAAAACATAAAACAATTATTCATAAAAAGATTAAAATGTAGAATTTATAATAAGAATCAAATCAATTAATGAATCTTATTATTTTCTTTTCTCGATCACCATATATCTCTTTCTTTATATTGTAGAAATTATTGCGAAAAATAATGCAAAAATATTATAAGAAGAATAAAAATATATTATTTTATTTTATTTAAATAAAAAAGTGTTAATAAATATCATTAAAATGTAAAAATAAAATAGATTTTAATAATATTATTAAAATTGACAATATTAAAAAATAATGAGATACAAGAAAGAGAGAAATAGAAATATGGGAGAAAGAGAGAAGGGAGGGGGAGAGGAAGAGTGAGAGTAAGAGTAAGAGAGACGAAGAAGGAAAAAGAGAAATAAAAGAAGAGAGAGAGAAAGGGAGAAGCAAAGAGGAAAAGAGAGGGGGTAGTGAGAGTAAGAGTGAGACAAAGCAAGGGAGAAGGATAGAGGAAAAAAGAGGGGGAATGAGTGAGAGAGAGAAAGAGGAAAAGCGAGGGGGGGTGAGAGTGAGAGAAAGAGAGAGAAAGAGAGGGACAAAGAAAAATAGGAGAGAGATTTTTTTTCTTTTAAAAAGGGATATTGTACTCTCTTTATATATAAAACTTTTTTCCTAATTCGAGAAAGTTGAATTCTCACTCCTCTTACAAAAATATTTTTTGTAAAAAATTAAGATAAAAGTGGTTCCTAGAAACTATATTCTTGGAAATTTCTTTCTTTTAAAATAGTTAATAAATATAGAAAATTAAGATTCTCACTTTAAGATTTACAAAAATATAAAGATATTTTGCGTATCAAATATCTCTTAGTGCATGTCTGCTATTTTTAGTTAATTACCACATGCATATTATTTTCTTTTCTATTTTTTTAAATATTGATTTCTTACTCTTCTATATCCACAAGAAGACATCAAATTAATTATAAAGATAATATTATTATATTTCACTAATATTTATTTTTTTCATCTTTATTCTATTGTTTACCCATAATTTGATGATAAAATTGAATAGTGTGAAGAAATAACAAAAAATACTTGGCATGTTTTGGGTTCTAAAGATGTTATAACGAACGCGGAAGAGAACAAAAAAGACGAGACAAGTAATTATTTATTAAAATCATGATTTGAAAACAATTGAATATATATTTTTCCCAAATAAAAAAATATGATTGGGTAATGTAGTTGCAAATTTAGGTCTCAGCAGACTGAAAAATAATAAATCCAAAGATAGTACCAAAAGTAATTTTTTATTTGGATTTGACACAAAATGAACCAAATTATCCGAATCAATTTAAAAATATATAAATAACGTACTTTTGGCCCCCAAAAACTTTAGGGTTAGTGATAATTTATTGGAGCCTTCGAAATATGGAAAAATCACCATTTTCGTACATGAAAGATGAAAATGTCAATCAATTTTGTTCAAATCATAAATTAACAACATGCATGACATTCATGGTATAAAAAAGTTTGTATTAGTATATATATAGCTAGAATTTGATCCTCGCCACTCTCATTCTTAAAATAATAAATAATTGAATTAATTTTGACATAAGGTATTTTGTTTTTTTCAACAAAGACAACTTTTTATTTATGGGAACAAGCTATGCCGAGAGGTTCAGCTTACACTTTAATCTTTATGGCCAAAAACTCATATCAGCACCCTTTACATAAAAATTATCAAATTCGAATTCCATCTTTATAAAGTTGTGCAAAAGTTCCATAGATATTGTCACATCCACCCAAAGGCACCCAAACTCAGATCAGCTCACACTTGGGTTGAGAGGAATACAAGTGAAGAAGGAGAGTGAAGAAGGAGAAGAAAAAAAAATGTTTAAATAGAAGAAAAAATGAAATAAAATAAAATAAATTGTTTTTAAAAAGTCATTTTTTATCTTTTATTTTCTCTCCAATCAAACAAAGAAAAGACGTTATTATTTGTCTCTTTTTTTTTTCTATTTTATTTCCTTCCAATCAAATACACCATTTATTTAACCTAGTGGCACATAATTATAAGTAAGCCATGGTTCAGCTTGCGTATTGTGTTTCATGAAGATATAGTTGGGCAAGCAAGAAATATTAGAAGATGATGATCTTTGTTGGGGATGCTAGTAGAGTTACCTTTAATGGTTTGTTTATTGCGTATAGATATAGATAGATAAGTCAGCTCATGCTATGATATTGAATCATGATTAAATTGGGCATGAAAATAAGATTGGATAAGCAAGATACTTACTTAATTAGGAAGGTGGCGATGATCTTTGTGGTTGAAGCAACTCCAATTATGAGTCTATCCAGCTAATCCAACACGAGACATTTCAAAGTACGGGAAAATATGGGAAAAGAA